TTGTTACCGGCTATGTTCTGAATTTGGTTACTAATTCTAGGAGTTTGGGGGGTCTGATATGTACATAATTTAACTTCTTCTTTTCCTATCCATATTCCTTTTTTCTTTTTCTTATCTAATGACTCTGGGTAATGTTCCCGGAACTATATTGAACCAGAGTGGTGATGGTGGGCACCCTTGTCTTGTTCCTGATTTTAGAGTGAAACCTTTCCACTTTTGACCATTTAGTATGATATTGGCTGTTGATTTGTGATAGACAACTTTTACCAGATTGAGATAAAGACCATCTATTCCAATTTTTCTGTAGGGCTTTTTTTTTTTTTTTTTGTACTAGAAAGCAAACTTGGGACCTTGCACTTGCAAGGCAGGCAGTGGAACCACTGAGCTAAATCCCTGGCCCTTGTAGGGCTTTTTTCATCATGAATGCATGAATGTGTGATGGACTTGGTCAAATGCTTTTTCTGCATCTATTGAGATGATTATGTGGTTTTTGTCTGTGGTTCTGTTAATGTGGTATATTTCATTTATTGATTTGCATATGTTGAAATTTCCTTGCACCCTAATTGGTCATGGTATATCTTTTTGATGATCTGCTGCATTCTGTTTTGCCGGTGTCTCATTGAGGAATTTTTTTTTTTTTTTTTTTTTTTTTTTTTGTTTTTTTTTTGTGGTTTTTTTTTTTTTTTATGGAACTCACTGTGTAGCCCAGGCTGGTCTCGAACTCACAGCGATCCTCCTGCCTCAGCCTTCCGAGTGCTGGGATTACAGGCGTCCGCCACCATGCCCGGCCTTCATTGAGGATTTTTGTATCTAAACTCATTAAGGAGATAGGCCTGTAGTTCTCTTTTTTGGTTGGATTCTTTTCTGGTTTTTGTATCAGGATAATGCTTTCTTCCAGGAATCACTTTAGGAGTATTACTTCCCTTTCAATTTCATTAAAGAGCTTGAGGGATAGTGGTATTAGATCTCTAAAATTCTTGTATAATTCAGCAGTCAATCTGCCAGGACCTGGACTTTTCTTTGTTGGTTGTTTTTAAATTATTTCTTCAATTTCATTAGCTGATGTTAGATTATTTAGAATTTTTATATCTCCTTGGTCCAACTTTGGTAGTTCACATATGTCTAGGGATTTTTCTGTTTCTTTTGAGTTTTCTATCTTACAAGAGTGCAAATTCTCCAAGTAGGTACTGATGATCGTTTGGATTTCTGCAGGACCCATTATGATTTTTTCCTTTTCATTCCTAGTTGCATGGATTTGGGTCTCTTCTTTACTTTTTTTTTCTTTGATAAGGTTGCCTAAGGGTTTATTTAATCTTCCAAAGAACCAAATCTTTGATTCATTGATCCCTTGCATTAATTTCTGCTCTGCTTTTTATAATTTCCTCCCTTGTATGAGCTTTGGGTTCAAGTTGCTCTTCTTTTTTAGAAATTTGAGATTCAGTATTAGGTTATTAGTTTGAGCTTGTTTGAATTTTCTGATGTGGGAATTCACTGCTATAAATTTCCCCATAGGACTGCTTTCATTGTGTCCTATAAGTTTCAGTATGTCATACTGGCATTATCATTTAATTGTAGAAGCCGTTCAATTTCTTCCTTAATTTTATTCATGACCCATTGGTTGTTTATAGGGTACTATTTAATTTCTGTGTGTTTATGTAGTTTTTGTGGTTTCTTTTGCCATTGATTTGCAGTTTCATTACACTATGATTTGATAATATGCATAGGATAATATCAATTCTTTTCCATGTACTTAAGCATGTTCTGTGAGTTAATATATAGTCTATTTTGGAGAAAGCCCTATGTGCTGTTGACAAGAATATGTATTCTGTTGTTGTTAGGTAGAACACCCTGTAGATATTTACTGAACCCATTTGTACAAGGGTTTGGTATTTCCTTGTTGATTTTTTGTCTAGTTGATATTGAGGTCCTTTTTTTGTCTATTTGGTATTGAGGTTAGGTATTGGAGTCCCCCATTACAATTGTATGAGTGCTTAGCTGATTTTTCATATCCATTAGTGTTTGTTTTATGTAGTTGGGTGTGCTGGTATTTGGTATATATATTTATGATTGTTATCTCTTCCTCTTGGGTTGTTCCCTTAACAAGGATATAGTGATCATCTTTGTCTCTTCTGATCAGTCTTGGCTTGAAATCCACTTTGTCGGCAAATAGAATAGCTACCCCTTCTTTTTTCTAGGTTCTTGTTGTATGATGTATTGTTTTCTATCCTTTGATTTTCAGTCTATGAATTTCTTTGTGGGTTAAGTGTGTTTCTTGTATGCAGCATATTGTTGGATTCTGTTTCTTTTGATTGGTGAATTGAGACCATTCACATTGATGGCAATAACTGATGGGTATTTACTTGTCCTTGTGAAATGTATTATTTTCCTGTTGTTGATTTGCTTTCTTTCCCTTTTATTTATTATTTATTTAGTACTGGGGGATCAAACTCAGTACGTTGTGCTTGCAAGGTAGGTGCCGTGCTGCTGAACTAAATACCCAGCCCTTTTTCCTTCTATTTAATTGCTTTCCTTGCCTGGTGGATTCATTCTGCTAGGGTTCTTTGAATTGTTGTCTCACTTGTCTTTTTCTGGAATTTCTTGCAGAACTTTTTAGAGGGTGGGTTTTGTGGTTATGAATTTCTTATTCTTTATCATGAAAGTGTCTTATTTCTCATTTCTCCATCAATTTTGAAAGATAGTTTTGCAGGATATGTCAATCTGGTTTGGAAATTGTTTTCTTTTAGGGCTTGAAATACTTAACTTCATCCTCTCCTTAACTGAAGGGTTTGTCTAGAGGAGTTGGATGTGATTCTGGTGGGTTTTCCTTTATAAGTGATTTGTTTCTCTTGTCTAACAGCTTTTAATATTCTGTCCTTGTGTTGTATTTCTGGAATCTTGACTATTATATGACTGGGTGTAGTTTTTTTCTGATCATGGCTAATTGGAGTTCTACATGCCTCTTACCTGAATGTCAAATATTTTCTCCATGCCTGGGAAGTTTTCTGCCATTATTTCCATGAATAGGTTTTTTATACCATTTAAGGATGCACCACATAAACTCTGAGGCCTCTTTCTCTATGACTGGATGCCCCCATGTCCCTGAACACGTGGACCTGTCTTCTTCCTCCAAATTGCAGCTTTCTCGCCTGTCTTATCCTCCCCCTTACTGTCCCTTCTGTGCCTCACACATCACATTTTGGGACAGACTTCACTGGCTCTGACAGGACCAGATTCTCTGTCTTCCTGGCCAATCTCCTCAGCACTCTTCCCTTGACCTGAGGCCAACTCATTGGCATAAAGGAAGTGCTTTTCCATTTGGGGATCAGCCCGATTTTGAGTCTCGTCTTCTGGTCCATCTCTTCTGTCACTTTTCTGCCTTCCCTGTGTCTGGCCCACAGCCAAACACAGCTGAATATTTAATTGAGTCAGTTCTCACTCATCTGCTTTTTATCGACCTCCATCTTGGACAGCCTCAGTCGGTGCTTTCTACCTTGGGTTTCTGACTCCTTAAACTGAGTTTTGAGGACATCCTCTGACTTTCAGTGGCTTTGTTGTCCTAAGGGCATCTTTTCTTCTCCCTTTGAACACCAGACCCTGTTGACCTTGCAGGTGAGGCTATCCTATGACCCTTACAGGAAGAATTTTGGAGCCTTTTCACCTTTCTCCAATGGAAACATCAGTGGCTTCTGAACCTTTGACTCAGCCTTTGAATCGGCCTTTAACTTATTTTAATATCAATTCTAAAGCCCCTAGAACTGCTATAATCATGATGCAAAATGTATAGATGAATACTGTCTTTTAAAAATATGAAATAGATAAGCAAGACGTGAAAATAGGCAAGTTTCCACTAAATAAATGAAAACTTTAAAAAAAGAAAGTTTTCCTTCCCACGTCATTTGAAGAAGGGAAATTATCATTTTAAACAATATTCAAGTTTATTAAACAAATTTTAAAAGTATTATAAAATGTTTAACTTCCATCAGCGTCAAGGTTTATGTTGCTACCGAATTTTACATATAACTGAATTTTCAAATCTGCTAACACCCGCTGAATCCATTGTACTCCGGATTCTAAGGCATCGAGTTCTTCTTGCCAATTTTTCCTTGCTTCTTCTAACATATCCTGTGTTTCTTCTTGAGAATGGCTAATGAAGACGTCGCCAGGCTGGTGAGGTATCATGACGCTGTCCCCATCTGAGAGCGAGATGTCCTCACCAGCATCCTTTCAATTCTGGGGTTGTGTCTCTTTTTACTTCTGTTTCTTCGTTTAGCTCTGTGATTCTACTCGCATTCCGCGCACATTTGTTTATCTTTCGTTGATCAAAAGTAACACTGACATCTTCTGCAGCAATTTTACGTATCACCTAAAAATACATATTAAAACGATGCACTGAGTTTGATCTCCGGATGAGCTTCTTGTCAGCTGAGTCACCACAGGGCTAGCAGTCGCCGTGTCCAAGTTTCTCCATCTGTGAAGTGGGGAACCGGGTCTCTGCTAAGGGGCTGGGAGGATCGCAGAGGAGCCGGCGGCTGCTGGACCCGACCTATCTCACCCTCCGGAGCACACGGAGGACGCAGGAGCTGAGGGCCGGCAGGGCGTAGGATGCACACGGGGCGGCGGCCGGATCCCGGATCCCCGCCTGCGTTCGCTGGGATGCGGGGCCTGGGCGCCCCGGCCTCAGGCTCCTCCGCGGCCAGGGCCGGTGCTGGGACCCCGAAGGCGGAGGCGGCCCGAGCTCCCGAGGGTCCCGGCCCCCTGGAGACCCAGAGCCTCAGCGGTTTCTAGCCACAGACAGCTCTGTTTAGGAGGGAGGCAGGGACAGGGGCCTATCCTAGGAGTAGGAAGGGGAAGAAGGGAGGCAGAGAGATTCACTATCTGTCTTTGTGACTAGACTCTTGCCTGTTGATGGTTTTGGGAGGCCAGCATCCTCCCCCCCAGGGCTACTTTCCAACTGTGCCAAAATTCCTCCATCCAGGAAAGGGAGGTCACCAATGAAATATGGGAAAAGGACAAACGAGATGGAACTGGACTTATCTGTAAAATGGATATTTTATTGAGCATTCGTTGGATACAGGGAGCGTGGCCAGAGTGGGAGGGCGAAACCTCTCCCCAGGCCCTTGTGCTCCGGCCCCTGGAGGGCAGGATGCGGGTTGTGGACCTAAGAACATTCTGCAGCAGACACACTCTTCTCCACAACGCTCCCTTCGTGTGTGACCTGGCAGCTGTATCTTTTGTGAGATCTCCACTGGCCGGGCGTCAGAGTCAGGTAGCTGACGGCCTTGTACTTGCTGTTGCTCTGTTTGGAGGGCTGGGCGGTCTCCACACCCTGGGTGATGAGGGTGCCGTCTGCCTTCCAGACCACCATCATGGTGTCTGGGTAGAAGTCATTTATCAGACACACCAATGTGGCCTTGTTGGTCTGGAGCTCTTGGGAGGAGGGTGGAAATAGGGTGACTGATGGGGCAGCCTTGGGCCGACCTGTGCGAACCGAGGAGGTGTATGAATCAGCAAGGGGAGCCGGCATTGAGGAGCCTCCACCCCAACATCTCCAGCCGTTCCTGTTGGATCTATTTTGTTACCTGGGGTCCCTCCATCCCTTCTCATTGCCCTACTGTCCACCTGTGCCCCTGGGAGAGCAGATGGCCCTGCACCTTCCCGGAAACCCTCCCCAGGTCGCTTCCCCAAGGTGACCCGGCCCAGCCCCTTCCCTCGCAGCCTGAGCTTTCTGACTGTCACCAAGGAAGACTGTGTTCCTTCCTCCTTGGTCTCTGCAGTCTGACCTTGGAACCTGGCCCTGACTTCCTGAGTCATCTCTCAACGTGCTTCATTCTTCCGGAGCCTAAAGTTGCCTCCACGAATTGGGAGTCCTCATCCTGCCTTGAAAGGTGGTCTGGGGTACATGGGAAGATCTGGAGTCTATGACTGTCAGAATGGGAGCCTAGCACCCCGTCTTCTTGAGCAGCAGGCTCTGCTCCATTCTGGTCCACTAAGCTCTCCCAAGGAGTGGTAGGCTCCTCCCAGACAGTAGGAGGCGCCCGGAACCTCCAAGCCTCTGCCAGCTCCCCTGTCTCCACTGGGCCTGATCACAAGACCCTATGCCTTGGCTGTATTCCTGAGGCTGCTCCTTCCAGACCACGGGGTACAGCAGGCTCTAGTGACTTCTGATTTTACCTGGAGCCAAATAGCTTTTTGAACTCCGTGCTTGTTGCTGTGTGTTGTTTCCTGAGTCTACTGTGCTCTTTGAGGAAGGGAGGAGGCTAACTGCGGACAATTGGACATATAAACATTTATTTGTTTTGTTTCTGTGTTTCTCGGGGGGGTACCTGGGATTGAACTCGGGACTTGCACTTGCCAGGCAGGCATGGCGCCACGGAGCTAAGTCCCTGGCCCCAGTTTTGTTCTGTTTCTACGGGGTCTCACCGTGTAGCCTAGGCTGGCCTCGAATTGATGGCAATCCTGCTCGGCCGGCCTCCCTCTGGAGTGTTGGGCTTTCAGAGGTGTGCCACTATGCCTGGCTGACGATGGCCAATTGAGGTATGTGGCCCCAGGGGGAAACGGCTCCAAGGACAGAGTCTCTGCCCTTTATGCCTTTCTCTCTAAATAACCATCAGGCTCTAGTTATCTTGCCCAGTCTGACCTGACGCTCTGTGTTCCTGTGTCCTCGTGGACCATCAGAGGACTAGAGAGCTGCAGCCTAGAGTGAGCCAGACATTCTCCGATCTTTGTTAGTCTCTACCTGGGGCAACTCCTGAGTCCCTAGAGGCTGTTGATTTTGTGTCGTTCTCCCCACCTGAATAGGGATCCAGCTCTCAGCCCAGACTCTGGGGCCTTGGGCATTATCTCTAGTGCTACCCAGAACTAGCTTCTCATCCCCATTTGGGCACCTGCTCTAGAGGAGGGGAAACAGCCCCTGCGCCTGGCCAGATCCAAATTTAGGTCTCAGGCCAGGCCACATCCCGCTGTTGGACTCTGAAGATGGCTGTTCCTGCTTCTGGGGCCCTTCCTGCTGGTCATCGCAAGATCACCACCTCCTCAAGGCCCCATGAGAAAGGTAAGGTGTTGATCCCTAAGACTGGGGAGGAAGAGAGGGAAAGAAGTGCCCAGATAGAGAGAATGGATTTTCCTGAGACATCAGGAGGGTGAGACAGACTGAGAAAGGTCACGAGAGCCACTTACCTAGGACAGTGAGCTGGGTTCCGCTGCCAAAGACAAACCACGGTGACTGAGACGCAGACCGAAAGCCGTGGGGCCAGCACCTGGGACCTGCCTCCCAGGGGCGGGCCTGGCCCGGGAACCTTCTGGGTGAGAGAGGCATAGGGCTTTAGAGGGTGTGCTGTTTCCTTGGTGGATGGCAAGTTCCCCAGAGGCCTTCCTCTTGCCTCAGGCAGGCTTTGTCCACAGTCATGGAGTCACTCACTTGTGTCCCCTGCTTCTGCTCTTTCTCAGGCTGTCAGTGCTGATGGCAGCGTTGGGCACAGTAAATGCTTAGGAAACTCCTGAGTGATGTACGTTCTCAGGTGACTATGACATGGCAAGGAGTTCTGAGCTGGCTCATTTACACTTGATCTTAGCCAAAAGGCCTAGAAGCGATAGAGCTGGCTCATTTTAGGCCTCTGAGTCTCTTTCTCGTGAGTTTCCCATGGTCCAGCCAGACTGGCTCCCTCCTGGGGCCGTGGACACTGGGTCCTTCTTCACCAACAGTGCTGCCGTGGGAAGACTCTTCTGCTCTCATATCTATGCCAAGGGAAACCGCACAGCCCTACTGTACTCATGCGGTCTTCTCTGATCTCTTAGAGCCCTCTATCCATCCATCCATGGTCCATTCGTCTGTCTGTTCTTTTGTTTTTCTGTGCACCTACCTATCTCTTCCTCTATCCATCCATCCATCCATCCACCTGTTTATCCACCTACCCATCCATGCTTTCATTTGCCTATTCATTTAACTGTCCATCCATGCATTTGTTGTGCATCCATGTGACCATCTGTCTACTCGTCCATCCACCCCTCTCTCTATCCATCTGTTTGTTTTGTTTTTTGTACCGGGGATTGAACTCGGGTCCTTGCGCGTGCAAGGCAGGCCTCCGAACCGCTGAGCTAAATCCCCGGCCCTCTATCCATCTGTTTACACTCACGTCCATCTGTACAGCCATCCTGTTTGCACCAGGCATTGTCTCACATGCTGAGGACGTGAGGAGGGCACCCTCCGCTCTCACCTCCATCTCTCTCATGCCTCTCAGGTGAAGGCCCGCAAGGCCCTCATCACATTCAAGTCTGAGGTCCCTCTCAGTTCCTGTTGCACCTGAGACCTCTGCAAGGATGAAACGAGGTCGGTCCGCCTTTCCAACCACAACCCTCGCCCCGGTGCCTCGGATCACCCACTCTCCTCTTTCTCTAGGTTTTCTTTCTCCCCAGCCCATGTGTGGCTCTTGGGTCCTGCATTGTGCACTCCCACTACTGCCCATATGAGTCTATCCCAGCTACAAACCATCTCAGCTCCACTAGAAATATCTCCTGACCATCTCTAGCTGGATAACCAACAGGAAGTTCAAACTCATCGTGTCCGAATAAGATTGACCTCTCACCCCTAACCCAGCTATTTTTCTATCTTCCTCTCATCACGATGGCCATAAGTGCTCTTGGGCCTCATGTTGGAAACCTGGAGTTGTAGACCGAGTCACCTCATCTCCCACACCGATGGGATTTATGTGTCCTTAGATGCTGCATGTGAATATCGCTTTATGAAATGAAAGCAAGGCTTGTGATACACTGGTACCTTGGTTCACACACTTAATGCTTTCCATAATTCTGGTCACAAACCGAATTGGATGAGAACTGAATCAAATTTCCCCATCAAGTCAGCTTTGAATTTAACCGTTGAATTTGATTTGGCTTTCATCCGATTTGGCTTTCATCCGATTTGGCTTTCATCCGATTTGGTTTGTGACCAGAATTATGGAAAGCATTAAGTGTGTGAACCAAGGTACCACCGTAATGAAGAAATAACAAACCACCCTCTGAGGCCCCATATCCCCAAGAAGCCCCAGGTTTTGCCTGTGCCAGTTTTAATTATCAGCTTCCTTTCCTAAAGGATCTAGCAATTGGTTGGTGCTGACTGGATGCGCGTATCTGTCAGAGACTGGTCCGATGCATTTTCCGCCTTAGAAGCTGGTGCAGTAAGCAGGAGTTGGTTTTGTGATGCACATATAAGAATTGTTTAACTTAAAATTGTTTTATTGTTTGAAAGTTACAAAATATAACAAAATATAGCAATCTAGAAGTCTATTTTTGAAATATAATATTTATCTCCTGCGATTTGGTTAATTTCCTTTTGAAATTTCCCCCTGAGATGGAAATATATGGCATAGAGATTTCCACTTTAACCACTTAGGGCGAATAAATGGTATGGAGTACATTCGCATTGTTGGGCACCTGCCACCACTACCCACGTCCAGCACTTTTTCGTCTTTCTAAACAGAAGCTCTGTACTCATTCGTCGTGAAGGCCTCATTCCTCTTTCAGCAGCCAGGGTTAGCCCCTCCTCTGCTTTCTGTCTGTGTGCATCTGCCCACTCCAGGCATCTTGCATAAGTGCAGCCATACAATACTCGTCCCTTTGAGTCTGGCTTATGTCACTGAGCACAATGTCTTCAATTTCCATCCACGTTATAGAAAATTTTTGACAGGAATTCTTGGTTGAATAATAAAAAACTTACTTAAAAGGAATTCAAAATTAAAACCTGTTAGGGCCGGGGATTTAGCTCAGTGGTGCCACCGCCTGCATTGCAAGCCCAAGGACTCAAGTTCAATCCCCAGTACCAAAACAAAAAACAAAAAACAACAACAACAACAACAAAAAACCTGTTAAAAGGAATAAAGCCATTTTCTCAAAAGAAACAAAGGAAACAGTTCTTAATTCATCAACAATAAGCACTCTTTTTTTTCCAGGGCTGGAGATAAAACCCAGGTCTTTGCACAGGCTAGGCAAGTGCTCTGCTATGGAATTATACTCCACAGCCCAGCAATAATAACTCTTCTTTTGTTTGGTTTGGTTTTTTGAGACAGGGTCTCACTATGCAGTTGAGACTGACCTGGAACTCACTATGTAGCCCGGGCTGGTCTGAACTCACAGTGATCCTCCTGCCTCAGCCTCCCGACTTCTGGGATTACAGGTGTGCACCACCACGCCGGGCTGTTCAGCAATAATAACTCTTAATAGTGAAAGACTGCATGAGTTCTCATTAAATCTGAAAATTAGGCACGGCATCCTTCGTCACTTTTACTTTTTATTATTTTGGGTGTTCTAATCGATGCAAAAAGAGAAGAAACTAAGGGTACAAATATTAGAAATAAAGAGAATAGGCTGAAAATTTACCAAATGAAATAAGATCAGTATGTTAAAATCAGTGATTTTATTCTCATCATCCATAATAGATCAGGTTTCCTGCTCTCTGGGAGACTAGGGCAAGAGGATCACAAGTTCAAGCTCAGCCTGGGCAACAGTGACATAACAAGAGCCTGTGTCAAAATAAAAAATGAAATAAAAAGGGGCTAGGAGTGTAACTCAATGTGAAGGCCCTCGTTTCAGTCACCAGTGACAGGGAAAAAATTTAAAAATAACCAATTAGGTTATATAATTGGGGTTAATCACATCCTCAGAAGCAATAGAATAAAGAAATCCAATAGGATACCTTAAAAAACGTGCAGTACCAGGTGTGGTGACACACACCTGTAATCCCAGCAGTCGGGAGGTTGAGGCAGGAGGATTTTCAAGAGTTCAAGGTCAGCCTGGGCTACATAGTGAGACGCTGTCTAAAAAAAAAAAAAAAATGTAAAACCACCAGGCATGGTAGTACACACTACCCAGGAAATGAAGCATGAGGATTATTTAAACCTAAGAGTTTGAGACCAGCCTGGGCAACATAGCAAGATTTCAAAGAACAAACAAGTAAAAACAGAAAAGGGATATAAAAACCTGCATGAATGAAGCTATAAAAATTTACTGCAACTCGCAGGAGGAAAAGTAAGCGCTGCTCCCGGATGGAAAGGCCAGATGTCATATAAAAATTGCAAAGATTTCTTCAGTCAGCCAATGAAAGGTAATTCATTTACATTCACAATTCTAATTAAAAAATTAAGTATACTGATTTTAAAGCACATTTTAAAAGAAAAATAGGAGGAACAGCTCTCCCTACTGAATGTCAACCCATAGTCTAGAAAGAAAGGAACTAAAACAGTGTGGAATTAAAAGAGTTGCAAATAGAAGGTAAAGAGATGGGAGAAACGGGTGGGAAGGGAGAGGTAGGGGAAGTAAAAAGAAGTAAGATGTGTTGTGTACAGGTATCAGCTCCCCACAGTGAACGCAATCATTCTGTACTGCAAAACCCTATCTAAAAGACCAGCCCCCACCATCACGGCAAGAAATATCAGCAAATCAAGTCCAACAATGTGTATGCTACAACCACACGTACAACTATGTGTACAAGGGTCTCTCAGCCTAACAAAATCAATGTGATACACCATCCATTAATGCAATGTGCTTCACTCACATTGGTTTAGTGAAGAAAATAACCAGTATCTTAATTGATACGAAGTAAGCAATGAATGAAATTCAACACTACTTTATGACATGACATCTAAAACAATCAGAGCTAAAAGAGAAGCTCTTCAACATGATAAAAACCATGTGTGAAATGTACCCAGCTGACTTCATACGCTGTGAGGGAAGACTGAAAGCTTTTCTCCCTGAGATCAGGAATAAGAAGGATGCCCACTTTTGCTCAATGGAGATTCTAGCCATAGAAGTGTCAAGAACAAGAAGTCAAAGGACTTCAGATTGGAAAGGAAGAAGTGTGACTCCTTGCAGGTGACGTGATTTTATATATAGAAAATTCCAAAGGACGGACACACACACACACACACACACACACACACACAGAGACAGACACACTCTGCTGGAGCAAACAAGCATTCAGAGACAGAAGATCACACAAAATCAGTCATACTTCTATATACTAGCAAAGAAAACCCCCAAATTAAGAAAACAGCTTCATCTAAAATAGCATTGAAATGCTCAGGAGTAAATTTATTTTTATATGAATTTAAAATTTTTATTTATGTATGTCACTGTAGTACAGTGACAACAAAATGACCTCTGTATACCAGAGCCTGCATACATCAACAGTAAGATGTAATTTGTCATTACACCACCGCTAAAATATCTAGTTTTTTTGTAGGAGACATAGAAAATAAGATGTACACACCACATAATTTTCTGTTTTTTTTCTTTAGATGATCTTAAT